CGCAGTTTACTTTTTCTATACTTTTACATTTAAGGAAATGAGAGCTAACAAAGTGCTTGGAAACTATTTTACTCATTTAAACATTGAGCACGATGATTTTTCTTCATTTTGATTCCCCCTTCCAGTTGGTTTGCCAATTGATCCCATAGATCTTTGGCAGACTCATAAGCGTCTAGAGATTGAAAAATCTCATTTGGAAGAGCCATGATCAAAAGCCACTTGGCTTTCTGATCCACTTCCACTCTACGCTTGTCCTCATCGTCCCAATCTCGATGAAACTTGAGAACTCTTCTGGCAGGTACTTCGACCGTATCGCCAGCAGCAGGAATACGAAGAATTAGTGTAGTGGGTACAAAAGGGCCGTTCAAAATCGATTCATAAAGCTCAAAGTCAAGACCTTCGTAAAAGTTTATCATGCGTATTTTCCATTGGGGATATTCTTCCCTAATGAGTGTTGGAGGTTTTGTCAGAGATCCAGCACTATACATGGAGTTCCACGTTTGACTAGACATTTTTGTTTAGGATTTTGAAAAGAAAAATTGACGTGAAAGTGATAGACAATGTGAAATTGATTTTCATAATACTAAAAGCAGACGTTTTTAAATCGATCAAAAATAAGAATGAATTTTTTTTTTTAAAAACGAATAATCAGAAATTAAGAGTGGTATCCTGATGCATATCGATCAACTAATCAATGAATATGATTAGTTGGCTTTGATACCAATTGTTGGAACCCATATACTTTTAATTCTCAGAAAACACAGTTAATAAAGAATATGAATGAAGTAAGAACAGTGTATTGAATTTGATCAAACGAAATATTCAATAGAAATAAGAATAGTAAAAGACTTGAATAAGACAGATGCTTTATTAGATGAAAATAATAATTCTCAATCTAAAATGTATTCTCACAAGAAATGGCTATTATCTAAGTCGGCACTCTCAGGTATTTTGAACCTGAGGAGGAATCCTTCTTATATACGCCTAAGTCAAACAAACTATGCTATTATTATGGATTGAAACTCTGAGTCGCTGAGTCCGCATCCTTATTGTTGACTACCCTTGAAAAGTGGAGCGGACCAAGTCAAGCCGCCTTGATTCTGTTTGACGCTTGCAAGAATGTCTGGACTATGTTCCATGGAGTTAGGAGACTAGAGGCTCTGCATGTACTATACAAAGGTTCTTCATATGCAGAGGCTCTGTGTCTGGAGTGTAGCTTTGCATCAAGCGCTTAAGCTCTTTGGCGCTTAAGGCTTGATCGTCCACGGAGATTGAGCGCGAGCTCTGTATGTAAGATCATTGACTCTTTGAGTAAGAGCTCTGGGTCTTGACTTTTTCTGCATGAGACCTCTTAGTCCAGACTGCTTCTAAAGACTAAGTCCTATGGACAAGAGTAAGAGGCTTCTTACTTACACTTTCACAAGATGGGGTCTAACAGCAAAATCTATACCCTCACAACACTCAGCTGAGGCACGAGGTGATCCTGGGGTAAGTTATGCAGGTTCTGACCGAACTATAGGATCTATCACTCTTGTATATTCTAAAACACATGAGCACTCTGATCGACATAGGCTAGAAGTTCATCAGGTATGTTCATGATTGAATCTACATCTTTAACTTCGATATATGGTCGTAGGAACTGTGTCTCATAATCTGGACCAAATGGACTGTCCAATCTAGAAGTAATGGCCTTGTTAGATCTCATTGTAGCTCTTATTATCAATTGAAGAAAACGTTGGAATGGAATGAATTTTCTAGCTTTTGAGGTGAACTTCTAGGCATGTACTAACTCAGCCAGTTCATTCCATATCGCTATTGTGTAGTCATAGTGTCAGTTGAACACTATACCGTGGAAGAACTTTAAGAAGGAACTGCTACAGGTGTCTATACCAACAGTTTTGGATGTGAGCATCTGTTTAATATAGAGAATAGTAGATGCCACACAAAAGGAAGATATTTTTTCAAAACTGCGACGGATTGTTCAGAACACTAGAATATCCAAGTCTTTTGATGTCGCGTCAGAGTTCCTTGTCAGTTATGAATTCTTCAAAACCGGGTGATCCGGCGGCAGAGTTAGGTTTTGGCAAGTTCGGTATCTTTCGCAACCTTCTTAGTGTAAGCTAGCTCATGAAGTTCTCAAAATGCCCTTGAAAGAAATATTGGTTTCCTTCTTTTATATAGGAAAGGGTATACCAAAATTGTTGAAGGTAAACCAAAGGGACAATATCCAAGTGCTTTTACAAACTGCTATAACCATCTTGTATTTTTGAAACTACAAGGACAAAAAGTTTATATCCGACAAACCAAGGGGATCAAGTTTGTAGTTCACTCTAATTTATATTTAGCTTTTAACTATTAGGTATAATTCTTTGTTGTTAATGAAGCATGTATGAACTAAAATGATGATGTCATTGTTTTTAGCTATTTAATGTTTGATTATATTGAGTTCTTAGCCCTTTATTTTTTTATGATGCATATGATTCTTACGTTTTAGAACATGTTTGTGACGGATTTGATTATCAATCTAAACTATATTGATAAAAACCTAATAAATTAAGAGAACAAACAAATTATGTTCAAATTCTAAATATATTGACATCATGATTATGTTGGGGGAATCATGGGTATTCTGAGAAAAAATACGAGGTTAGGGTTGTTGGAGGGTGGGGTTATTGGATTAGTCTAAATAAACTAAACATACGATAAAAACTGATTTAAAAACCCAACATTATTTCGATTCTATAAAGATGCTATTACCTATCATTGATTCCAAAAGTATAAACAGGTAGAACAAACTCGAATAGGTTATGGTTGTTAACAAGATATATTTTTCCTTGTATCTACACCGTTAGAACAAGCTCTTAAATCGGATCATAATCACAAAAGAATATGAATAAAATCTCAAACTCATAGGTGCAGTTAGCTTTATTGAACTAGAAAAAAACCATCGCAAAGCCATAAGCTTGTACGCTCGTCTTGTTAGGGCTTGATTGCAAGATTTCCAGAACTATTCGGAAACCTTATCAAGACCAAGTAATTCAAATGTTACTTTATCAAGGTTCCAAGACAATTACATATCTTGGTTCTAAATAGCAAATCTCCATAAGAATTTCAACTAATTGACCATTAAAACGAAAATGACATTGAAAATAAAAA